GATAGTATTATAATGCTGGTTGCCCTTTTTGACCTAGCCTGGGATATGCTTATGGACACAAGATATAGGCTCAGATGATCTGGATTTGAATCTGGCTCTGTCATAACTTAGCTGTGTGACCTTTAGCAAATTATTTGACTTCTCTGCCTCAGTTTCTCATCGGTAAAACAGGAATAATGATGACACCTATCTCATAGAATTGTTATATGACATAAATGAGACTCGGTGCAGAAAGTGTGCACTGTAGAGAATATGACACATAGTAAGGGTTAATAAATATTATGTTTTATTTAGTTGGCAGCTCCTCTTTTACTTCTGTCTAAATGAATCATACTTTGTATACCATCACTGTAGTCTGAGCTCACAATATTCTTTCCCTATATCAGTTGTGCTACACACTGAGCATCTTTCACTCTTTAATAGTTCAATAATCTCTTTCACCTGTGAATTGGTCTTCAGATGAGCTGTTCTCTCTGCCTGCAACCCTCTCCTTCCTCTTCTTTTCTTGATCAGCTCTAACTCATCCTTCAGGTCTCACCTTGTTTGTTCCTCCCTCCAAGACTTTCCTGACATTCTAGACTACATTCAGTGTTTCTGCTTAGAGCTTTTAGCATCTTTTGTCATTATTGCTCATTTATTTTCTGCAAGAGTATAAGCTGTGGATCAGTGGGGTGGCAAGGGGAGCCATTGCCACTCTGGAGCTTAGTGTGATGACTATGCATAATAAGCACTGGTTGGGTAAATGAATGATTGCTTATTGACAGATCTGGGGTCTTTTAAAGAGCAGCTGACCCTCTTTTCTTCAACTGTTCCTCTCTGAGTTGCTTTTTTACCTACTAGGAAAATCTACATTAAAGGCATAAGCCATTTTGTATTTTTTTCTCAAAGAGTTGTCATGACTTAATTTTTGGTTTGACTCATGGTCATTAAAACGTAATTTCCAGGCTCACAGCAATTAGTTGCTCTAATCCACATCTTGGGAGAAAATACTTAGGGGTCATAGACTGATTCAAAAATTGTAAATATTGTAAATTTCATTGAAATAACATCGAAAAATCACATATACATGTATATTAAATTATACTATGGCTATATTCAAAGTAGAGAAATTACTAGATAGAGCTTTTAAATGGACAGCAAACCAAAACCTAATTTACAAAATTAATGTTGTGGGGCCAGACTCGTAATTTCAGTTTTTATGTTCAACATACATAATTTCTGATTATTATGTACATGAAATATTTTTTAGCTTATATGTGCTGAAGGTTTGACTCTTTACTGAATATTAATAGCTTTTCACAGTTACATTCTAAAATATTATCAAATATAATTATATCTTCTTATTACTAGTTTTCTTGCTAATTAACTACTCATTTCTTTGCAGCGTTCTCTGACTCCCATTTTTAATGTGGATTCTTAGCACTTCTTAGCACTAAAGGATTAGGCCAGTTTCTTGAGAGAAGGTAGTTATGCAGATTAATAGCAACTTTAATGGTATTTCAGGGCTCCTTACAGCTATTTTCCCTAAGCCTGCAACTTTAGTATTAGTTGATGTGGCTGTTTCCTTGAAGATTAATGTAACGGAAGAATTTTGCGAAAATGCATAGATGCAAATGTGGATCATGTGATCTCTATTACCCACCTTATTGCTTATTTGTCTAAATTCAGATACTATAATAGACTATCCCTTGTGTAGTATCTGTCTGTCACAATATGATTTTTTTTCTACAAAGCTTTTTGGTTGAATGTTTTTCTATTTAAAATTTGAATGTCAGTTTGTATGTCAGATTCCTTAATGTTTTTATTTATGACTTCTTTTTTTGCCTGGTATATTTTATAGTGTCTTTAAATTAAGACTAAATTTTAAATTAGAGATTTTTAAAAAAGATTTCTATGTTTTTTTAAGGTAAAATGAAAATGCAATTCAAGAAGTGCAATTAATAGGAACTTTTGAAGTTTATACTATGTGTCTAATTTGAAAGGTATTTAGAAAAATATATCAACAATAAGTATTTTCATTAACAAAAATGTTGCACGTTGGCACGTTGGCAACCTGGTTTGGATGAATTAGAAAAATCCCACAAGGTTCCTCTGAAGGGTCAATATTGTTGATAGATTTAAGGCTACCGTAATGCTATCCTAATCTCGCATATATCTTTTTGCCTTTTCTGAATATTAATTAATTATGACATACCAAGACACCGTCCTGCAAGCCCCAGCATTGTTCTGCCTGCGAAGTCACTACCAGAGAATCATTTCCAGAGAGTGTTAGTTACACTTTTGTGAAGCAGGATTCAGAACACTCTTTCTCCAATGTCTTTTCACCATTTCTTGTCATTGAAGAAAATAGTTTCTACGGAAGTCAGATATCCATCCGACAAACTTATTGTGTATATTTACTCTGTTAAAGGCACTTTTTTTTTATAGTGGGAGATACAAAAATTAATAAGGCAGTGATCTTCTCCAGAGAATTTAATAATCTCAGGAGGTAAGAGTAATAAATCAAGAATGTTATAACAATGCCCTTCAGTGAAAGTGCACCAAGAACATATCTGTAGTGGTTTATTACTCATTGCAGGGAAGAGACCACACACCACGGATAAGAATACAGAGTATTAGTAAGAGGGCATTAGAAAGGCCTCATTATTAGATTTTGGGTTGTGATTTAGGGGAAAGTTTAAGAAAGCAGGCCATTGCTCTGGATGGGATGTTGTCAGGAAGTGGGATATTTTATGTTTAATTGTGTATTTTAATAAATCTTTTTGAGAAAGAGGGAAGACTAGTTCAAGACTAAAGCTGTAATTAGTCAAGACACATCAGTCACTCAGGTAAGCCAAGATGGGTGGATGTTTGATCATTTTTGAGGTTAGATAACATTCATGTTTTTGTGGGCGTTCAGGCATGATTATGCAGTGATCTTGTTTTTGTCTTGATACATCACAGTCACAGAGTGGCCCTGTCTGATGTTGATGTTCTGTGAGATTGTTTATGTTCAACAGAGGACACCAAGGCTTAGCCATAAATGCCAGGCCAGGTCCTGGATGTCAGCACTGATTTTCACTTTCTCAGTTAGTGTAGACAGATGCTGATAAATGCCGTTAAGACAGGGGTGGGGAACCTTTTCATGTTAAAGGGCCCGATTAATGTAGCTGTAAGCAAATAAGGCTGTATTCAAGAAACTTCAATTAGAGTACTTAAAAATGTACATTATTTTGTAAAACTCTAACTACTATGTACTTAATAATTTCAGAAAATGAAAACTGTTTGTTAATTTTAAAGTTAACCTTTTAATGACTTTGTTGCATTGTTGGAAAGCATTTGAATATTTGGTTGCAGCATGGAGGTCTGTAGTCTTAGTTGATCCTCTAAATGGGTATCAGTCCTTTGTGACCTTAAGGGCATCTTGATTTGGGTCAGGTAGGAGAATGTAGATTCACAGCAATAAGTGGTTGAAAAGCAAGAAAGCATTTTTCAGGCATGTTGCTGAAGGTGTGGGTATTCTACTGCATTTTTCCATATTTTAATTGGATCTTCCTTAGCAGCAACCAATGGCTTCAAGATGTCATCTACTGAGAGCTCAATCAATTCCATCTGTAGTTCTTTAGGTGCCTCGGTGATATCAACTAGGTGAGGCTGAAGTGCTAATTTGAGTGTGATGTCAAGATCGTCAAAATCATTGAATGTTTCACTGTATTTTCTAATTAATAGGTCTATAACAGCTGTGTATTCTTCAAATGATTAGCATATAACATCCTGCTCCTCAGTGACCTTTGCTAACTGGGGAAAATGTTCATCTGAAATTTGCTTTTGAAGAAGAACTGTTTGGAAAAAAAATAGCTTTTCAAAATGCTTGAGTTTTTCACCACATATCATATATAGACTTAGTTTTATTTTGCAAAGAAATATTCAGGTCATTTTGATTTGACATGATATCACACCAAAATACTGCATTCCTATAGAAATTTTCTTTCAATAATTCACATTTCTGATTCTGTACTTCATAATATTTAACTATCTGTTCTTGTAGAGATAAAATTTTGGCTAATGCCTGTCCCTGCAATAGCCAACCCACATTAGAATGATATGGTAAATCCACACTGAATACCTCATCTTTCAACTTTAGCATGTTATAAAACTGATGATGCCATATTGTATTTTCACTAATATAAGTAATAATGCTTACAACTTGTTGCAAAGTGTCACTGAAATAGTAGTTTTAGCACAGAGATTTTGCTGATGCAAGATACAATGAAAAGAAACAAGAGCATCTGGGTCTAATAATACTTTTTTAAATCTGTGCAATAAACCTTCATATTTTCCTGTCATGGAAAGTGCACCATCTGAATGCACACTCATTAAATTTACCAAATTCAGTCAAACTTCATGACATTTATCTTGAAAGCTGTTGAAGATATCTATTCCCCATGTTCTGTTTGCAAGAGTGCCCAAAGTGAGTAACTTCATAGCAAAGAAAATCTTCTGTTATGACCCAAATGAAGTATTTAATATAAAATCTGCACTGAGTCAGCAGTATCAGTTGATTCATACAAAACAATCGCATAATGTATATTTTCCTTTTGAAGTATTGCATGAAGTTGTTCTGTTAAGTTGAAACCTAATTCATGGTGCTGATCAGTTATGGTTCTCCTTGAAAGAGGAAGTTGTTTGGACTTTGAAATGTTATTGGGGCCAGGCGTGGTGGCTCACACCTGTAATCCTAGCACTCTGGGAGGCTGAGGTGGGAGGATCGCTCAAGGTCAGGAGTTCAAGACCAGCCTGAGCAAGAGTGAGACCCCGTCTCTACTAAAAATAGAAATAAATTAGCT